ATTAAATTGGGCATAAACACATTTTAATTCCCTTCCAAAACTCCCTGTATATTAGCTGTATTGCATTGGTTATAACCTTGCTTAAACTTCTATTAAATTATAGTTTTGTAACACTCACAAGTACCAATACCATTTGTATGGATCAACTTGTGTCTATGTAACTTTGATGCTCTAATTTCTTACATTTTTGAGTGTGTTGAAAATTGACTGATTAGTTCATCACAAACAAACTGCAATGTAAACAATTGGAGAGAAGTATTCAACTTCAAATAAAAGGAATTTAGTCTTTAATCAGGTTTGAAAAGAGAGACTGAACCTTCCTTAGAGTACCTTTACAACCTACATTTATATTTTAGCTGCTCACCTGCCTCAATTATTTCTTTGTGTGTGTGAAATCACATAATTTCTATTGCATGTACAAATACCTCAATAGATTTTGATATGAACTGACAACATAACTTATTTTTTCTTGTTTGCCATCAGGACACAAGAATTCTCTTGTTCATGGTTTTATTTCTGATGATGGCGTCTTTGAGGGTAAAATTCATGTAGGAAATGACAAGTATTTTGTTGAGTCAGCCAAGGAATATTTCAAGGATGAGCCTAATGACTTCCACTCAGTTATTTATGAGAGCAGAGATGTGAATTATCCACATGCTTATGGTCCAGGTTGTGGAGTATCTGAGAAAACCAAGAAGTGGATGGATAAAGTTAAAAGGTATATTTTACATTTACTTGGAGAAATCTTTATTACATTGGAAATTAAAGGAGAATATGGGCCACAGTTAATTGACTTGCTAACTTGCACTTATCAGGTTTGTATCCAAGCGTCATAGCCGCTACTCAGCTACATGCAGGGCTCGACACTAATGGTAACCAACTAGCCACAGACTAGTGGGAATTCAGTTTTGGCTGGTGGTTTTCAATATCTACTAGCTAATTTGGCTAGTTAACAAACTGAAATTGTCATAACATCTAAGTTGTTACTAGCCACTTGGCTATTAAGTTGAAAAGTTAGTGTTAAGCCCTGTAATAGACTTGGCTAATTTCTTTGTATGTTTCACTTGTTGGCTTCTTTACTTCTACTTTAGTACTAGTTTCTTTAAAGATGAATGATGTATGACATGTAAAAACATTTTTATCATTGTGAAGACTGTACACATACATGTAGTCCATGTATTGCAGCCTGATCCCAGTGACATAGTCATGCAAGAGGAAGTAACCCTTTAAATCCTAAGAGTGAACAGCATCTAATTTCTCCTTACATAAATATGGCTGAGTCATTCATGAGAATGTAGGAAATGATCACCAACCCAGAGAACTTTGATTGGAAAACAAATTCTCTCTGCCAGTACCAAGAGAAATGAATAGAGAAGAGTATTGAGAATATGGATACTGATGTTAGGGTGGAAAGGGTTTAGGAAACCAATTTCAGATTGAGAATATATGTTGTAGTTCAATTTTATACTTGGTTCAAATTTTATTTTCCTTTGTTCTCGGTCATGTTAA